TAACAAATATTGTATGTGGCATTGACTTAGACTTTTGCGAATAGACTAATAATTTCTGGTATCTAATAAATATTCAGATTGAAAATATTCATCGATCTACAAAATTTTCTCATGGAGGTACCCATTTTTTTGCCACATATACCAATATAGAGGCTAAAAGACACTACGATATTAAATTCATATGCGATCGAGATATTTATGAATTTAATCATTAAAATGCGTAAGCTCAATTATACATTCAAGTTAGACCAATTCCCGAAGTTTTGGTCAACAACACTACTACAAAAGAGGCTATCATCGGCGAACCAAAAACTGACAAGAACTCCAATTTCTGTCAAAAATTTGATAAAAATTCGACATAAAACTATGCAATGTCGGATTGGAATAACGACACCATTGCTAGCGTCACAAAAGGGCTTCGATGTCCGTTTGTGCGCTTAATCCGCCACAACTTAGCGTCGGTTAAAAGCGACACCCACTATGACATCGGCTAAAAGCGACATGATGTTCTGATATGATGGTGGTCATAACCGACATCAACTAGCAACTAACAAATAAAATACTTAATCTATTGTCTGTCCTAACCAACATTACCCAACATCTCGATAAATAAAATAATTATCATGCATTCCTACACAGATGGTACATGAGATGCAAACTTGACAGATTCAATTTATTCAAGAATTCAACTGGGGTCTTTGGGTGTAGAATTTCTTGTTAAATGTATTCTATGTCATATAAATAAGGAAGTACAAATAACACATATATAGGAGCCATTAGAGAACCGGTTACAAGATGAAGATAAAAAAACTAACAATTACATATAATACTAATCAGAGCTCCATGCTTGCATATAATACTAGCAGCTGCCATGATGCTTTCCCGTGCTTGCCTTTGTCGAAGACCACAAATTATGTAGCTCCATGCTGCCATGCTTGCCATCAGATCAATGCTCCATTACTTTACTACTTCAACATTAGGGCTCTAATCTCTATAGATTAAACTCAGGTTTTATACCTTTCAAAAATTATGGATTTGCGATTTCCAGTGTCCTTGCTCTTCAGATCCAAAATGAACATGCATGAATTTTTATATGGATTTTCGCACTGCTGATCTTACTAAATAAGAACATAAAAGATGAGCTCAATGGAGATTATAGCTTTAGTGAGTCATGCATTAGACTGCTTAGCATTCACATATTAATAGCTACGTGGAATGTTGTAAATACATCAAGAGTTCCACTTATTCTTCCTACCTTTTCACCGCCAAATCATCCAATTAGAATAGATTTTGTTGCTATACCTTTAAATGACGGATCTAGAACGGAGACAACTCTGTGGTGGTTTTTCCTTGAGATGCGATTTAGGGCTGTACCAGTGGTTGCATAGTTTTTTTTTTTTTTTTTTTTTTTTTTTTTTTTACAGATCTCAAGTCCCTGCAAAAGAAACAACACAAGCATGAGGAGTTGAAGATTTTTTTCTTGTATGGTATATTTCAATTTGTGAACATGAGTGCATGAATCGGCAAGGGAGGGTGAGAAGTTTACCTCTGAGTGCGTTGGCACCAAGATCAGTGCTGCTACCCTTCTGGTGATGCAGTAAATCCATGGTTGTGAGGTCTTATGGGTTGATGATGGAAGATTAAGGTTTGGTTTGCAGAAACGGAGGTTAGGGTTTGAAAAAATGTGGAGAGATGAGCTGCGGTTTTTTGGTGTGCTTGGAAGAAGGGAAAGATAAATGACCTTTAGGCTCGAGGTGAAGCCTTTTGAAAGAGGGAGATTGACATCCTCTTTTTCGTTTAAAAATACGGGGGGAAATATCCTGCCAAAATTTTTTTCATGCGAGATAAGTATTTAAAAAAATAGAAGGGTGTTTAAATATGGATAAAAAGTTAGCGTCGGTTAAGGCCGACAGTTGCTGCAAGTGACGTCGAAATAGGAAAAAATTGTGTCGGATAAAACCGACGTTAGCCAGACAGATTTGAGTGGCATAGAAATAAGAAACTTTTGCGTCAGTTGAAACCGACGTGTGCCTGATAGACATTGCAGGTGGCCTCGAAATAGGAAAAGTTTGCGTCGGTTCAAACCGACGTGAGCCTGACAAATTTTATAGTCATTGCAAGTGGCGTCGAAATAGGGAAATTTTGTGTCGGTTCAAACCGACGTATGTCTGAGAGACATGTCAGTGAATCAGTGATTGGATGTGGCGTCGAAATAAGAAAACTTTGCACGTGCAAAAAAACTAAAATCTATGTCGCTCAGAACCGACACAGGCTTTAAAATATTTAAAAACAATAATTAGTATCGGCTAGAAGCGACACCTATACTTTATGTCGCTTAAAAGTGACACTGTTTTTATTTTAAGCGACACCATTATTTAAAAATTATTAAAATGTATGTCGGTTATAAGCGACATAAACAGTGTATAACGCTTACAAGTGACAGAAAATCTGACGTCATGTTCAGTAGGTATCGCAAATGTCTTGTCCACCACTATATTATATTAAACCGACATAACCTACTGACACTATAAGGCCCTTTTGTAGTAGTGTAATAAAAACTGCTTACCTATGAGTTCACCTATAAAACGTGCAAAGGCGATACACTTTTTTACCACAATTCTATGTATTGTGAATTTTTGTTCGCAACTTTTGTGGCATATAGAGGCTAAAAGATACTACGATATTAAATTCATATGTAGTTGAAATATTTATTAGTTTAATTATTAAAATGCATAAACTCAATTACACATCCAGGTTAGATCAATTCCCGAAGTTTTGCTCCACAATAAAAATTGCTTAGCTTTGAGTTTGCCTTTAAAACTTGCAAAGGCGATATACGTTTTAGCCACAGTTCAATGTAATGTGAATTGCTGTTTGCAACTTTTGTATCTAATAAATATCCACGGTTTTGACCAAAAAAAAAAAAATCCACAGTTAAAAATATTCATTGATCTACCAAAAATTATCATGGACATACCCATTTTTCTACCACAGATAGGAATATAGAGTCTAGAAGATTCTCATTTAATTGAAACATACCAAACTCATTAAACACTCTAACCAGAAGCTCATTTAATTGAAAAGAAAAAGGAATCAATACGTAAAAATTGAACCAATCGATTGAACACATACCAATTATTAAGCTAATTAGTGCTCTAGAAATTTAGAGATGTCAAATGATGAAGAAAAGGAAGAGAAAAAGGTTTGGATGACTACGGAGGAGTAGATGGGGGTGCAGAATGACAACCATGGGAGATTGAAGGATTTTTTAAAGAGAGAGAGAAGGGGCTTTGCTCCATGAAGATGATGGACTAGTTAGGGTTTTATTTTTTATTTTTAAGTAGATTGAGTTGGGTGTAAAAGAAGTTTGATTAAGTTGAGTTTTGATAAGTGAGGGCGGTTTTGGAAATAACGTTGGGTGTAAAGAGATAATGATAGATAAATCAAATACAATGTGGATATAAAAAGTAAGCTGGGTGTTGAGATACAAAATATGGGTTCAAATAAAATTTCCCTTAAAAAATTGTCAAGGATGGTCTGTTGAAATTTGTGTTTGTACTAAATGCTTCTGCTTATAAGCACTTACATTATTTGAAAGTACTTTTATGAGAAGCATGTCAAAAACTTTAATTAAAATGAGGCACTAGTTGGTAATGAACTCTAAGCTCCAAAAAGTGTTTTTATAATCCATAATTAGTTTTAATGCGTGTCTAGTATTTCTTCTATAACAGCTAAAAATGCTATCTAATAATCAAAATGTTTTTTTTTACCACGTTTAACAAATAAACTTAAAAGCATGTTTATGTTGAAAAAACACGTTTTAAAAAATCAACAAAAATGTGTTTCCAACTGAAGCAGTTCCAAACAAACCCTCAATTCCCTCAATTATTTCTAAGCACTACAAAAACCTATTGGTGTGCAATTAGCCACACTGCAGTATGCATCTCGATCCAGCTGATGGTGATGAGGTTTGGAGTTGAGCCATGAACTTTTTTTCCACATGACATGCTGCCCTAACGCTTTCCTTCTTGTTTTATCATGTCTCCTGGTTTATTGGTCACAGCCTGTTCCCAGTTTGCATTTCTGCCCTGTTTTGGGCAGTGGGTAGGACAGAGACTTTGAGCTTTTTTAACAACAAAAAAAAAAAGGACCAGACGGTGGCTTCTTCACGGCTGTCTATTTTTTTCAGGAGCCGGAAAACTCACATAGACATTTCAACCTCTCGTAGCCATCATCGTGTGATTCACCAGAATCAAGAATTGAACCTAGAATGTGCCGTGTAGAATACAGGTCAAGAATTTGTCTCAACCACTAGACCATCCCTTGGTGGTTGACAGAGACTTGAGCTTTGGCCATTACCTGACATTTTTAATTCTATGCTTATCCTTTTAATCCTTCATAACAATTATTGGCGCCGTCTTGATTGGTTGCACATCCATTACCCTACAATGTTAGACCAGTGAAGCTCTTGCCCTACATATTTAAGGCACTTCATGCTCTCCATTCCGTCACCATTCATTCCATGTTTGAACCTGGTTTCAGGCATGAACCCGATTTTGGTTTTCGAATTCACAACTGGTTTAGGGCAAAGAAATCGACTTTCGAAGATATAATGCATTATACTTCTAATAAGGCCCAGAAAGTATGAGCTTTCTAGGCCTTTCCTGGTAGAATGTGATATGCATTTTCGAGTACAAATCCTACCAAGATAAAATGCATTACACAAATGACGTAATTAGACCTTTATATTACACGTTCAACAAAAAATAATTCACAGCACATCATCTTTGTAAGTGAATTCTATCCTCTGTATAACATCAAAGTAAAAAAATGTTCTAAAGAATGCTCTTTGAGTACTAACACTAACAATTCTACAATCTATTCTCTCTGAATTATGTTTTTCGTTCGTAAGAAACTCTCACCTCTGCATCCATTCGTCCGTCAACAACGTGATCCCCTACCTATACACATCAGAAAAGCCATGTTGAACCATTGCTATGTCATCTAACTCCGGGTTGTAGAATCGGAAAGAAAGTCCAGTCATTGCAAGGCTTAGATTCCTTAGCAGCAACATTTTTGTTAGTCCACCATTCTGAGCCGATGTTGGACTTACTCGGAACTTCAGCTTTTGTGTAATCAAAATTAAACTCCTTTGTCGACCCAAGTGTGATGGATCTTTGCTTCCGGTATCCTTGATCCTCCCCTTCTCCTGAAGCATTTGCAGGAATTCTACTCAAACTTTCTTCAACATTAAACACTCGGTGATTGTTGGAGTCTGTTAATAACGCATCTGTTTCAATTGAGTTTTCTGCTGCTATATCATTTGAAGATTCCGTTGCAGTTCTTAATGCTTTATTCGCAAGACAGCATCCAACATCTTCACCAGTCAATTCAAATGACACCCTGTGATCAAATATTATAGTTCCACCACTGTGACATCCACTCTCTGTGTTGGCCAGGGATGCCACCTCAGAAATCTGGTTCTCCATATGGAAACCGTCTCTCGATGCTGGCCCCATACCATCAGGCGTCAAACATCCAGAGCCCATCCCGGAACCAACTCCCACACCATTGGGGGTCAAACAAGTTGAATATGAGTGCGCAACGAACGAGATTAACAAAATAATAGGAATATTATTAAACAAACGAGAATGCCGGAACGGCTACAAAACCCTAAGAGGTTACATTGTGACTAGTTTGATTTCTAATGAATAACAAAGCACTCTATTTATAATAAACTAACTCTAACCCTAATGCTAACAGGCTAGGCCCAAACTAAATTTATAAGAAAACCCAAACAATATAATACCTAAAATACTAATATATCCAACACCCCCCATCAAACTCATGGCGGTTTACGACATGGGTTTGCAAACATGCAGATGCGGACTGGCTCCGTTAGGTGGACTGGTAGGCATGCAAACTTGACTTAACTTGACTGAATTGGACTTGACTTGACTTGACTTGACTTGGCGAACTTGCAAACGGGCGAACTTGCGAACTTGACTTGACTGGCAAACTTGACTTGATTGGCAAACTGGCAAACTTGACTTGATTCTTGATTCTTGCTGGCAAACTGATTCTGGTTCCGACTGACTAGAGTTGAGAGTATGGAAATAACCCATCACTAAACGGACGAGATTTTCATATCTCAATTGTAGCAACGAACAAACAAATACAAATACTATCACTCAAGTGGTTACAATTCAAGAACTCGAATAACGGTCACAAAACAATTCCAAATAGGCCAACAACTCGTGTGGACCTAAAAACAAACTTAAACATTTTTTTCTTTTGCCCGTGTGGGCCTAAAGCAACAGCAAACAATTTTTTTCTTTCCTTTCGCTTTTTGCCATTTCTTCTCCTTTTTATTTCATTTTTTTTTTCTTCTCTCCTTCTTCCTTTCTTTCTTCTGTCTGTACGTTCCTTTTTTTTTTCTTCTTCATAAACAATAATACCAATAAAACAAGCAGCAATCGGGTCAAACTGGTGGTGCAACAGCGACGAGCAAGAATGGGCACCAGTGGGATTTCAAGCAGATACGGTCTGCAATCGAATCTGGGCACACAAGTGTAGGCTGGTTCGACGAAGGTGCGGCTTCGGTGATTCTGGCAACAGGAAGCAGGTCATGTCGTCTGGGCTTGCGGAAGTGGTGCAGCATCGAGTGATCGGGTATGTGCAGGCGTGCAGAGGGTGCGGATGCAGTGCAGGAAACGGTGTGGTGATGCAGCTGGTGTTGGATACGAACAGCAGAGATGTGCTGGGTTTCTAGTTGCAGACCTGGTACGAAGGCTGATGGCTGGGTGACGATGCAGCGGAAGTGGGGCAGATTCTGGTGGGTCGTCCGAGCAAACATAATCAATTTTTTTTCTTTTCAAAACTAACACTGAAAACTATTATCAAACAAACAACATGGATACCTATCAAGAACATATTAAATCCCAAAAGATCAAATCTGCTCTGATACCAAGTTGAATATCACATCACAGTGCGCAACGAAAGAGATTAACAAAATAATAGGAATATTATTAAACGAACGAGAATGCCGGAACGGTTACAAAACCCTAAGAGGTTACATTGTGACTAGCTTGATTTCTAATGAATAACAAAGCACTCTATTTATAATAAACTAACCCTAACCCTAATGCTAACAGGCTAGGCCCAAACTAAACTTATAAGAAAACCCAAACAATATACAACAACAACAAAGCCTTTTCCCACTAAGTGGGGTCGGCTATATGAATCCTAGAACGCCATTGCGCTCGGTTTTGTGTCATGTCCTCCGTTAGATCCAAGTACTCTAAGTCTTTTCTTAAGGTCTCTTCCAAAGTTTTCCTAGGTCTTCCTTTACCCCTTCGGCCATGAACCTCTGTCTCGTAGTCACATCTTCGAACCGAAACGTCAGTAAGCCTTCTTTGCACATGTCCAAACCACCATAACCGATTTTCTCTCATCTTTCCTTCAATTTCGGCTACTCCAACTTTACCTCAGATATCCTCATTCCCAATCTAATCCTTTCTCATGTGCCCACACATCCCACGAAGCATCCTCATCTCCGCTACACCCATTTTGTGTACGTGTTGATGCTTCACCGCCCAACATTCTGTGCCATACAGCATCGCTGGCCTTATTGTCGTCCTATAAAATTTTCCCTTGAGCTTTAGTGGCCTACGACGGTCACACAACACGCCGGATGCACTCTTCCACTTCATCCATCCAGCTTGTATTCTATGGTTAAGATCTTCATCTAATTCTCCGTTCTTTGGCAAGATAGATCCTAGGTAGCGAAAACGGTCGCTTTTTGTGATCTTCGCTAGATTGCTCCGGTCATTAGTGTGGATAAGTATATAAATGGATAGAGACAGGAAAGCAAACACAAGATGTACGTGGTTCACCCAGATTAGCTACGTCCACGGAATATAGGAGTTCTCATTAATTGTGAAGGGTTTACACAAGTACATAGGTTCAAGCTCTCCTTTAGTGAGTACAAGTGAATGATTTAGTACAAATGACATTAGGAAATATTGTGGGAGAATGATCTCGTAATCACGAAACTTCTAAGTACCGAAGTGTGGTATCGTCTTCACTTGCCTTATCCGTCTCATAGGTAGATGTGACATCTTTTCTGGAAGTACTCTTCCTCCATCCAGGGGTGGTATCTTTAACTGGTGGAGATGCACAAGGTAATGTATCAATTTCACTTGAAGCTTACTTGTAGTTTCAAGCTTGGTCAAGTGCGATACAAACCATGTAGTAGGAGTCCCCCAAGTCGCCGAGCTAGGGGATCTGCTGAAAGAGGTGACAGACAAGGTAAGCAATCAGAGTTCCAAGCAATTAGTCCCAGATCAGAAGTTTGATTTCGAGTTCCGGCTGATTGTTCTCATTATGCCTATCTTGCAGGCAGCATAAAGGATAAAGAGAAGAAAAATGAGAAGAGATGATATGAGATACTTTTGCTTTTGAAGAAGTAAATTTCCATAGGCTTATTCTTGAACTGGGCTGGAGGGTTTTCTGGTTTCCTCCAGAGTATAAGGCCGACTGAAGAATTTGAGGGTCAAAACAAGTCCATCAAATCTAGAGTACGTTTGACCCTGCTGATATGAGATACTTTTGCTTTTGACAAAGTAATGGATATATCGGCACGTGTGCTGTTACGCTTGTCTCCATATGCTTCCTTGTATCCTTCTCACTTGCCCTATCTATTCCTCAGGCAGATGCGGTATCTTCCCTGGAAGCATAAGATGTTGCAGATGAGTACTCGAGAGCAATGCCAGGTAAGTAATCAGGTAAGGGGTTCCAGGCAGTCAGTTCCTGACTGGAAGCTTGATTCCAAGTGCTGACTGATTGCTCTCTTTCTCCTTGTCTTGCAGGTAAGAACAAGGCTAAAGGAAAAGACAGGGAAAAAGCATGATATGGGATACTCTTGCTTTTAACCCTGATGATATGAGATATTCTTGCTCTGGTATAGCTTGTTTGCAGAGGTATTATCGGGGGGAAAGAAAGCTGAATATTTCGAAAGGCTTCGTTGGGAGTGCCCTCTCAGATATGAGAAAGGGTTGAGCATTTTTGCAGGTCTGCCTGTCCGTTGGGGATGGAGGTCGACATATATAGGAGTCTCCCTAACAAGTAGTAATGATATTCCTTTACCCTGCTTGGTCATAACACTGTAGTGGGAGCTGCCAGCTTCACATGTTTTAACTCTGTCAGAGCACTTTGAAAAAGTGGTCTGTGGTATCTGGAAATCTGATGTTGCGTGTGAAGATTACAGACAAGCTTTATCCAAGGAGATCTGGCTCTCGAAGTTGAGAAAGTGGTGCCTCTTCGGTTTTCGAACAAGCAATCCTGTCGGGGATCTGGCTCTCGAGATTCGGAGAACGATGCCTCTTCGATTTTTGAGAAAGCAATCATGCTGGAGGTCTGGCTCTCGAGATTCGGAGAGCGGTGTCTTTTCGATTTTTGAGAAAGTAATCATGTTGGGAGTCTGGCTCTCGAGATTCGGAGGGCGGTGCCTCTTCGATTTTGGAGCAAGTAATCTTGTTGGGAGTGTTTTCTCGAATGTGAGTAAAGGTTGGGCATGTTTGCTAGTCTACCTTGCCACGGAGCATAGAGGTTGACACACAGGGACTTTCCAATTATCCAGCAGTGGTACTGTTCCTTTACCCTTGTGGGTAATAATATGGTAGCTAGACCTTCAAAATTTATGTGTCTAAACTTTGTTAGTGCTGTTTCTTTGCTATTCTTTTACCCTTCTTGGTCAGAGCGATGTAGTGGGAGCTGCAAGCTTCACGTGTCTCAACTTTGTCAGAGAACTTTGGCAAAGTTATCTGTGGTACCCATGAGCTAATGTTGAGTGTGGAAAGTGGGTGATTGAACAGTAAGATTCATGTGCTTTCTACTTCACCAGAAATCTTCAACAGAATGCCCGTAATTTTCGCAAAGCTGAGTGTGCGTGTGACAGGTGCTGACAAGGCTGAACAAGTAGGTGCCTCTTCGATTTCTGAGATCGGCCCTCGTGGTCTCTGAGCAGCCCAGCTTTTGAGAAAGCAAGCGCCTCTTCGATTTCTGAGATCGGCCTTTGTTGTCTTTGAGCAGCCCAGCTTTTGAGAAAGCAAACGCCTCTTCGATTTCTGAGCAGGCGCCTCTTCGATTTCTGAAGCTCCGTCGAGTGCAGATTTTTATAGAGGCTAGCATTAAGTTCCAAAGCACACTTGAATCTCCACCAGTAGAAGCTTCATTCTTGCACTTCTAAGATCTTGATTTGTCCGACCTATTCTCTCTTCAACACCTTTGAAAATGTCTGGCCCCTCCGACCGTTGTTTTGACTTGAACCTTGTTGAAGAGGCAACCACGCCTTCTCCAGACAACATATGGCGCCCATCCTTCGTCTCCCCTACTGGTCCTCTTACCGTTGGGGATTCCGTGATGAAGAATGATATGACCGCTACGGTGGTGGCCAGGAACCTTCTCACTCCCAAAGATAACAGACTACTTTCCAAACGGTCTGATGAGTTGGCTGTTAAGGATTCTCTGGCTCTCAGTGTTCAGTGTG